GAGAGGGCACAGGTTGGAGTCGCGATGCGGAGCTTTCCACCTGTAGGACGACGGCGGCCTCTACTAGAACCTAGAGGTTCCGGTAGACTGCCCGCTCCTGGGGGTCGACGGGCTCGGGAACACCGCGCAGAAGCATTGCTGCTGCAGCGATATTCTGGCCGGCCCTGGGCGAATTGTGGGACATCGTTCCCCTCTTCACGATGTCGTGCTGGACCTGACGAGCGCGACCCCGGGCGCCTCTCGGCGGGCCGTGCGCATGGGGCGCAACGTGCCACACCGACCGTGTCGGCGCGGGCGGCGGCTGACTTTGCAGCTGTTGTCGTAATTCCTCAGCGTGCGCTTGCGCAGACACGAGGGCCTCCGCACACGGGTCTGGAGTGGCGTGAGTGTGCGCAGACTCCGCAACTACCGGCGGCTGTCCTGGACCGTTCGCCATAGCACATTCCCAGGACGGATGGTGGCGGGGCACCACATCACCGATGCTGGAACCGTCGCTCTCACCCTCGTTGTCCGGGAGTTCGCGGGAAACGACAGGAGCGAAGCCTACCATTCCTATGAATTCGGACGTGAGTGGGGATGGTGCCGGCTGAAAGGTCCTAATATGGCTAGAGGGGGGTGAATAGCCTATTTAAAAATCTACAAATCAACTAGAGCAATTTGATTAGTATAATAAATAGTGTAATGCAAACCTGCTCTAGCTCTACAAGGGTTGCAAGCCACCTATCCAACAATTCTAGTTGCTATGATCACTAAACACACAATTTGCTATGTTACTACTCACTAAGAGCTCTCACACTTGCTACACTAAAGAGCTCCACTATATGAACTTGAAACAACAAAACAAGTTCTCAATTCTAATTACACTAAAGAGCTTGCTACAACTAGTTTGCAAGAATGTAAATGAGTGAGTAGGGTGATTATACCGTCGTGTAGAGGAATAAACCAATCACAAGATGAAGATTAAACCAATCACCGGGAGAATACAAATGGCAAGAGACAACCGATTTTCTCCCGAGGTTCACGTGCTTGCCAACACGCTAGTCCCTGTTGTGTCGACCAACACTTGGTGGTTTGGCGTCTAAGAGGTGTTTCACAAACCTCGTCCACACGATTGGACACCACAAGAACCTACCCACAAGTGAGGTAACTCAATGACACGAGCAATTTACTAAAGTTACCTTTCGGCACTCCGCCGGAGAAGGTACAACTCCCCTCACAATCACCGGAGACGGCCACGAACAATCACCAACTCGTGCCGATCCTCCACCGTTGCACCAAGCCGTCTAGGTGGTGGCAACCACCAAGAGTAACAAGCAAAACCCGCAGCGAAACACGAATATCAAGTGCCTCTAGATGCAATCACTCAAGCAATGCACTTGGATTCTCTCCCAATCTCACAATGATGCTGGATCAATGATGGAGATGAGTGGGAGGGCTTTGGCTAAGCTCACAAGGTTGCTATGTCAATGAAAATGGCCAAGAGAGTGAGCTTGAGCCGGCCATGGGGCTTAAATAGAAGCCCCCACGAAATAGAGCCGTTGGGTTCCTCACTGCACTGAACACGGGCCGACCGGACGCTCCAGTCATATTGACTGGACGCTGGACCTCAGCGTCCGGTCGTGCGATGTGCGCCACGTGTCATCGGCTTCAAACGCCGATTGCTCGATTTCAATGGTCAAGTGATGACCGGACGCGTCAGTTATAAAGTGACCGGACACTGGACCTCAACGTCCGGTCGTTTCCAGTAAGGTTCCAAACGCAAATTTTCACGATCGGACGCGTCTGATCATGCTCGACCGGACACACCCAGCGTCCGGTCACACAACGTCTCCTCTGTGCGCCTCACGTCAGCATACGTCAGCACTGACCGGACGCACCCTACCAGCGTCCGGTTGTTTGACTGACGCCAGCGTGTTCGCTGTTACACTTGACCGGACGCGCCGGTCCAACCGAGGCCAACGTCTGGTCACTTCTAGTGACCTCCGTCTTTTCTGTCTAGGGCGCCGGTGGCACCGTCGGACTATCCGCACTCAACGGACGGACACTCCGCCGGTGGAGTTTCTTACCCTTGCACCCAAACTTCACCACCCTTGATCAAATGTGCCAACCACCAAGTGTATCACCTTGTGCACATGTGTTAGCATATTTTCACAAATCATTTTCAAGGGTGTTAGCATTCCACTATATCCTAAATGCATATGCAATGAGTTAGAGCATCTAGTGGCACTTTGATAACCGCATTACGATACGAGTTTCACCCCTCCTAATAGTACGGCTATCAATCCTAAATGTGATCACACTCGCTAAGTATCTTGATCACCAAAACAAAATGGCTCCTATTATTTATACCTTTGCCTTGAGCCTTTTGTTTTTCTCTTTCTTCTTTTCCAAGTTCAAGCATTTGATCATCACCATGCCATCACCATCGTCATGATCTTCACTATTGCTTCATCACTTGGAGTAGTGCTACCTATCTCATAATCACTTTGATAAACTAGGTTAGCACTTAGGGTTTCATCAATTAACCAAAACCAAACTAGAGCTTTCACCGGCGCCCTTCGGAGCTCCTGAGCATAAGCATCCGTGGAGGACGCGAGGCCATAGGGGAACCAACCGTACGGTGTTTGTGGTGTAGGCGGTGTAGTCCCCCCGGTGATCGGTGGGAGGTAGTAAATAAAGGGTGAATAAAAGTTCACGTATTACTTACAGTGGGGTTTGAGCAGAGTTTGCTCGGAATGAATCGCAGATGCCACGTCGTTGAAGTCGCGCGTCCCGGAGTTGATGGAGGACGTCTCCTCGACGGGTGCCGGTCGCGAGTCTCCTCGCAGAGGTGGAGTACGCCAAGCCAGTCGGTGATGAAGTCCAGGCTTCCGAAGAGGAAGGCCTGGGATGGCTCGAAAATGGGTGAAACCCTAATCCCCGCAGGCGAGAGTGCAGGATACTCTAGCGAGCCAAGGCGAATCGTATCGCTCGAGCCCACCACGGCGGGGGTGGCAAAAAAATGGGCCATCCGATGACCAAAAAGTGTTGAACGTACAGTGTCTTCCCCACGGACGGCGCCAACTGTCGGTACAGAAAGTGACCAACTAGTGAATATTTGTAGTTTTGTTGTACGTTGTGATCGGAGGTGGCCTAGCACTCAATGACACAGGATTTATACTGGTTCAGGCAGCGTGCCCTACGTCCAGTTTGGGTCGGTCGGTGACTTTATTCCTGAGCCCAGGTGCTCGAAGTCTGTAGTGGGGTTACGAACAAGAAGGAGAAAGGTGGGGTGTACGAGAGGCCCGGTCGGGTCCGACCGGAAGGGTCGAGGGTGGCCGGAACTCCGCTACGAGCTAGGTGTTCAAGCGTGTGCTTGAGGGGTTGCAAGCTATCGATCTAGTGAATCTCAACTCGAAGAAGTCAATCTCCTTTGTTGGAGGAAGCGCATCCCCTTTTATAGATGAAGGGGATGGCTTTATAGGTGAGAGGGAGAGAGTACGGACGTTACTAAGCCTTGTTGCCCACGTCGATGAGGATAGTGACGATGGTAGGCGGCCATAATACTTGTTGATGTCACTGTGTAGAATGTCAGGTGCACATGGGAGGTTGCGTTGGCTTCTTCAGGAAGGGTGGATGTCGGTACCTGCAAAATACAGTTGATATGTGAGGAGCCCTACCATGTGTACCAGGTATGGTTAATCCTAGTGCCTATAGTGCCATCGATGCCTAGAGGCATGTGGGGGGCTTTTTGCCGTACAGGAGTCCAACGGCGCCTACAATACTGTAGACACAAATGTCGGCGCCTACAATACTGTTTGTGTCAGGGCGGTTGTGGAGCAGTGTTCCCGCAGGCGTATAGGGTATGGTCCTTGGTATCGTGGTTTGACTTGTGCGCTGCCTTCTCCGTTCGCCTTAGGTCCCTTTCGAGCAGGCGTCTCCGATCGGATGGCCCCAGTCGGTCCTGGCCATGCTAGTCAGAGAAGAACGGCAAGCAGGCTTCCTATGGGTCCCGGTCGGAGATGCGGGGTCGGAGTCGGAAGCAACGTCTCGGGCCAGGCCTTTCGATCGGAGAGACTGCCTGGAGGCGACCGGTGTCCAAAGCGGGTGCTCCGGTCGGAGAGGTGGGCCGAAGAAGTTGACGAGCGGGTGCTTGTCCCTTTGGGTAGACCTTCCGATCGGCGACCGGACTGTCCTTCCGGCCCGTTGTGTTTTTAGACTCTTGGGCCGACCCATGGACTACATGCTGTTTTTCTTGGGCCGAGCCCTGGCGTGGAAGCCGGTTCTAGAGGGACCCCGGGTTTATGAACCCGACACAAAGCATCTCAAGTTTGACCAAAATCTATTGATACTTATTTGATATCAGAAATGTTATTATTTGATCAAACTTATGACGTTTTGAGTCTTTAAGAAAGTTAGAATGACTTATAATTTAGGACGGATAGAGTAATAAAAAAAGAAATGGAAGTTTGAATGTTGGGTGTTTGGCTTAGTGGCGGAGCCACCACCCGGCCACCCTGGGCCGCCGACCGGGCTCATCGGTGAAGTTCAAAAGAAAAGTTTCTTTATATCAAATAAGAATACTATAATTTGCTAGCTAAATAATGAGGATCATCCGGGCTCCTAAAAGCTTTTGGCTCCGCTACTGGTCCGGCTTGAGTAGAGACCACAAGAAGGATGCCTTTTTTTCTTGGATATTTAACCATTTACCATAATGGAACTCTTTCATATGTTAGTTTTAAGGAACGTTGCAAGTTTGCAACATTTCTGCAACTTTTGCTGAGAGGACGTTGCAATATTTCTGCAACTTTTGCTTGCGTCGCTGTCAGCATGGATTAGGTGACTTATATTCTATACGAGTACTAATACAATTATACAAGCTGAAGTTCATTATGCATCAAAGAAAAAAAAAGATAAAGACTCGGTTCGGCTGCTCGTCAAGCCACCTATGCTGATTTATACGACTAATTTGTTGGGAGAGAAAAATATTGTACTATGACAGCAGCCAAACACTCCAAAAGATGCATCCAGAAAGTCATTGCAGCTCCAGTCGTTGCAGGCGCTCCACTCCCTGCCGATTACGCCACTGGTTAGATGGAAAACATAGTGACGACGAAGTTGTTATGTTCCACGATGAGCACACCTGCACACGGTTGTTGGATACAAAAGAGTCAAGCACAACCGACACTGCCACGCCACATCCCATGTTAAAAAATTAGGCATTTTCATGGTCAATTTAATCCAGAAATAAAATATCAGCAGGTTCATGACGATATATATGTGTATGTATATATCATTAATAAACGCTACAGCATGCAAGTATGACATACCGATCGATACAGTAAGTACGGTAATCAGAGAGTTAAGAGTGTACCCAGCGGAGGGTCCCATGCTGAGGACATCGGAGGCTCCATTCACACCAGACATAGTGCGTTGCTCGAAGTCGTGGACCACAATCGATGCAGGAAGGTGTTCACAGTGCAGTCCCACGAATGGTCATCAGGAAGAAGACACTTTGCTGTTCCGTGAGCGATCACCAGGAAGAAGACATCTGTGACGTGGACGAGCAGTCGCGGAATCGCTCCCCAAAAACCTAATCACCACACACCACGTGCAAGGTTCGTAGACGGACGAGGGTTCCGGAGGCACCTGCTCTCCCGTTGCTCCGTGTGCACAGAGGTACGGGATAGGGAAAACCAAAGGGCGGCTGAGATGTGGTCTCTCGAAAGCGAAGGGGTGATTGGACTGATGAAGGACTTCAGGTTTTATGCCTGCGGCGGGGAGGGAGAAAGCTAGCCGAGGAACTCAAGAGACGGAGACACGAAGAGACGGTAACTGGCGCAATCAACTCGCCTCCACCATAAAAGAGAGAAACTCCCGTAATTATATAGATTAAGTGGCAAAACCTGGCCACGCCCGCCCGTCCGCTCGCTCGTCTGCCATGCCCACGCCCACGCCCACGGCCTCGGCCTCGGCCCTGCCCGGCTCGGCCAGCGGTGGCGGTGGCGGCGCGCGTGCGTGTGGCACTCCCGTGTCATTTTCTCAGCTTCTCAATTAAGATGGATAATTTCCAACCAAATAAGTTGAGTCAACGTTCAGTTAAAATCCCGTACGGTATTAAACCATACAACGCTTAATGTTATGGACCATAGAGTTTTATCTGATTTATTAAACATTATATGGGCCCAGCCCATAATATATCAACAATCATCACCAAACTCTAGGGTTTGTAACAAAGTAGTCTCAGAACCATATTTCTTTTATATACCAGTGTTTCGATAGAGACTGTTAAGTTAAACATCCATCTAGAGCAATAGTTTCACTTAGTCACAACTGAACAATGGACTAAGCCTTGAATTGATAGTTTTGTGTGAGATGAATGTCACTAAAGTCCTTAACTGATACTAGACTACAAAAGGCATCCCCTCTATTTGAAGCATATAAATCATACTCTAGTGCCTTTCATGAGTATTTAGAGATCATCCAAATCTCATAGACTGTGACCAACAGTTTAACTCATATAGGTGTGTTCCTCAAAAGATGTTCTGTAGGACAACATCTTTGTTTTAGCAAGCCACTTGGAACACATTAAGGTAAAAACCAAACTGCCTTATAGAAAGGAAAGATGTGCATCAGAAATATGTTTTACTAAGGATCTTTCCTCACAATTTACTACTAGCTTGTTTCACCATCCTACTTCACAGGATCTCCGATCACATAGAATAGGTTACCACTATAGTAAATTTCATGTGGGTCTCAAACCCATCTCTCTCGATGCATTTTCTATCACATTACGTGACAGACCCTTAGTGAATTGATCTGCCAAATTGTTACACGTGTGAACATAGTCCAACGCTATTACTCTAGAGTTTCTCAATTTTCTGATAGATTTTAGTCGTCTCTTAACATGTCTTGTGGACTTCATGTTATCCTTAGAACTGTTAACCTTCATAATCACAGTCTGGTTATCGCAGTTCATAGAAATAGCCGGTATGGGTTTTTCAACAACCGGTAAATCCATAAGGAGATCATGAAGCCACTCAGCCTCAGAGCCAGCGGTGTCTAATGCTGTGAGTTCTGCTTCCATTGTAGACTTCGTTAAGATAGTCTACTTGCAAGACTTTCATAAAACAACACCACCTCCAAGCGAAAACACATATCCACTTGTGGCATAAAGCTCATCAGCATCAGAGATCTAGTTGGCATCACAATAGCCTTCCAGCACCTTCGGGTGTCCGGTATAACGAATACCATAGCTCATAGTGCCTTTTAGATAGCGCATCACTCTCAAGAGCACGCCAGTGATCATCTCCCGGGTTTGACACAAACCGGCTGAGCTTGCACACAACAAATGAGATGTCAGGCCTTGTTGCACTAGCAAGATACATGAGCGAACCAATGATCTGGAAATATCTCAATTGATCCCTTGCTATTCTCTGATTTTTCCTCAATAGCACACTAGGGACATAAGATGTAGGAGCAGGTTCACAGTCACTAAAACCAAAGCGACCAGCACCTTTTCCATATAGTAGGATTGTAACAGAGTTACCCCACCATCACCTTCTCTCAGAAGCTTGATATTAAAAATAACATCAGCCTCTCCCAAATCTTTTATTTCAAAATTATTAAATAAAAATTCCTTCACCCCCTCAATCACTTTGAGGCTGGATCCAAAGATCGGTATGTCATTAACATATAAGCACAAAATAACTCCTTCACCCCCACCATACTGATAGTACACACATTTGTCAGCTTCATTCACAACAAAGCCAGCAGATGTTAGAGTTCTGTCGAACTTCTTATGACACTGCTTAGGAGCTTGTTTTAGGCCATATAATGACTTTAATAATTTACACACCTTGCCTTCTTGACCATTTGCTACAAACTCATCCGGCTGATCCATATAGATCTCCTCCTCTAACTCTCTGTTTAGGAAATCTGTCTTAACGTCCATTTAATGAACGATAAGACCATAAGAGGCTGCCAAGGAAAGCAAAACTCGAATTGTAGTCAATCGGGCAACCAGTGAATAAGTATCAAAGAAATCCTCACCTTCCTTTTGAGTATAACCCTTGGCCACAAGTCTTGCCTTGTACCTCTCGATAGTACCATCAGGCCTAAGCTTTTTTTTGAACACTCATTTACACCCTATAGGTTTGCACCCATAAGGATGATCAACTATTTTCCAAGTTTCATTAGACATAATAGAATCCATCTCACTCCGTACTGCTTCCTTCCATAAGTCAGCATCAGGAGAGGAATCTGCCTTTTCAATGGTCGTTGGTGTGTCATCCACAAGGTACACAATATAGTCATCACCAAAAGACTTTGCAGTCCTCTATCTCTTACTTTTTCTAGTGACTATAGTGTCATCCTCCTCAGGATTTTGCATATAGGGTTCCTCAATTTGTTCTATCGGAGTAAAATTTCCATGCTCATGGGAAATTATAAATTTATGACCAGTCGTACTAGGTGTATTTTTCATGGAAAATATATTCTCAAAAAATATAGCATCTCTACATTCCATGATTGTATCAACAGCCATCTCAGGAACACTAGAATTTATAATTAAAAATCTATAACCCACGCTGTGAATAGCATAACTAAGAAAAACACAATCAATAGTCTTTGGTCCAAGCTTTCGCTTTTTGTTTATTGGCACATTCACCTTTGTCAAACAACCCCAAGTTCGTAGGTAAGAGAGATTTAATCTCTTCTTCTCCCATTCTTCGAATGGTATAATTTCTTTGTTCTTTGTGGGCACCCTATTCAGGACATGACACGCTGTCAATATAGCCTCACCCCACCATTTCTTAGATAATCCCGCAATCTCTAACATGGCATTAACCAAATCAGTTATAATACGATTCTTTCTCTCTGCAATCCCATTGGACTGTGGTGAGTATGGTTGCGTCCTCTCATGAATAATTCTATGCACCGTAAAAACTCAGAAAATTCATTTGAGAAATATTCTCTCCCGTGATGGGACCATAAACGTTTGATTTTCTTCTCAAGTTGATTTTCTACCTCAGCTTTATAGACTTTAAAATAATGCAATGCTTCATCTTTAGTTTTCAATAAATACACGTAGCAAAATCTAGTACAATCATCTATAAATGTCATGAAGTATCATTTACCGTCTTTAGTCAATTCGCCATTTATTTCGCATAAATCAGATTGAACGAGTTCTAATGGTGCCAAGTTCCTCGCCTCAGTAGCCTTGTGAGGCTTGCGCGGTTGCTTTGATTGCACACACACCTAGCACTTAGAATCTTTGACTAAGTTAAATTTAAGGATTAAATTCAGATTTGCAAGCCGCGTGAGACTGCCAAAATTAATGTGACAAAGTCGTGAATGCCATATACTCGACTCATCTGAAACATTAACATTGTTCACTACTTTATTACACACATCATCAAGCAAAGATAAGCGGAACAGGCCTCCGTAATCATAACATTTTTCAACAAATGTTTCATGTCTTGACACAACACACTTATTGGACTCGAGCACAATTTTAAAGTCATCGCGACACATTTGAGAACCGCTAACGAGATTCTTCTTGATGGAGGGGACATGCTACACATTCTTTAATGGCACCGTCTTTCCCAAAGTAAACTTTAGAACGACCGTATCAACACTAAGAACACGCGCATGCAAAACCGTTTCCCATCAGCAAGGCTCCAGTCCCGCCGGCCTGATAGGAAGTAAACAAAGAAATATCAGCACACACATGAATATTACCACCGCTATCCATCCACCACTCAGGTGAAAGACAAACTGAAAGAACAAAAGGTAAAGAATTATCATACCCAGATGTTCCTCCTCCAGTCTCGCTAATCGCCACGTTTGCTGATTTCTTTTGTTGCTTATATTTGCGGTCTAGGCACGCACTTGCCCAATGTTCATCACTCCCGCAAACAAAACAACATCCACCTTTTTTGTTGTTTTTCTTCTTAAACTCAGCAGTTTGCTTAGGCTTTGTATTGTTGTTCTCTTGCATGTTCTTCTTTTTATTACGGGATGCAAATGAGTTTTCCTTCTACACCATATTGGCAGCGGAAGACTCAACTCCTTTTCTACGGTTGTCTTTTGCTCTCGCCCTCTCCTCAACATCAAGAGATCCAATAAGCTAAGCCACGCTAAACTCTTGTCTCTTGTGTTTTAAAGAAGTAGCAAAATCCCTCTAAGAAGGTGGCAGCTTAGCGATTATACCGCCGGCCACAAACTTGTCGGGCAACAAACATGAAAAATGTTCTAGTTTTTTTGCTAGCGTCTGTATCTCATGAGCCTATTCCATTACAGAACAGTTTTCAACCATTTTGTAGTCATACAACTGCTCCATAAGGTACAGCTCACTACCAGCATCAGAAACTCTAAACTTTGCCTCAAGAGCATCCCATAATTCTTTGCCTGATGTGCAAGATATGTAGTTTTTCTCATACTTACTAGGAAGTGCACTAATCATGGTGTCTCAAAACAGGTTATCGGCAGCCAAAAACTTTTGCTCCTTCTTAGGAGTAAATTGTTTAGGCTTCCCCTGTGCGGCGTGAAAGTAGTTCATAGCAGTCAACCACAACACCATCTTGGCACGCCATATCATGAAATTCTTGCCATCAAAGATATTCGGCTTCAAAGCAGCAGCAAAACCACTGACAGAAAATTACCTAATATTAGGTTTTTGGATTGTTAGAAAATTAGGCATTTTCATAGTCAATTTAATCCAGAAATAAAACATCAGCAGGTTCGTGACGACATATATGTGTATATGTATATTACTAACAAACGATACAGCATGCAAGTATGACATACCGATCGATACAGTAAGTACGGTAATCAGAGAGTTAAGAGTGTACCCAGCGGAGCGTCCCATGCCGAGGGCATCGGAGGCTCTATTCGCACCAGACATAGTGCGTTGCTCGAAGTCGTGGACCACAATCGATGCAGGAAGGTGTCCGCAGTGTAGTCCCACGAACGGTCACCAGGAAGAAGACACATTGCTGTTCCGCGAGCGATCACCAGAAAGAAGACGTCTACGGACGAGCCGTCGCGGAATCGTTCCCCAAAAACCTAATCGCCGCACACCCTGTGCAAGGTTCGCAGGCGAACGAGGGTCCTGGAGGCACCTGCTCTCCCGTTGCTCCGTGCGCGCAGAGGTACGGGACAGGGAAAACCAAAGGGCGGCTGAGATGTGGTCTCTCGAAAGCGAAGGGGTGATTGAACTGACGGACAACCGAGGAACTCAGGAGACGGAGACACGAAGAGACGGTAACTGACGCAATCAATTCGCCTCCACCATATTCCGTAATTATGTGGATTAGTGACAAAATATGGCCATGCCCGCCCGCTCGCTCACCGCCTACCACGCCCACGGCCTCTGGCCGGCCCAGCTCGGCCGACGGTGGCAACGGCGGCGCGAGCTCGTGTAGCACTCAGGTGTCCTTTTCTCAGCTTGTTAATTAAAATGAATAATTTCCAACCAAATAAGCTGAATCAACATTCAGTCAAAATTCCGTACGATATTAAACCATACAACACTTAATGTTAGGAAGCATAGAGTTTTATTTAATTTATTAAACATTACATGGCCGCCCACGGTACATCCAACATCCCACACAATCCAATCCCAACCATAATCGCCGGCAGCCGGCGCCCGGCGTGCGTAGCTGATAGCTCCGCCAGTCCCAAGGCTCCGCCGCTTGCTCGCCTTGTTCTCGTCCTCCTCATTTCGGCGGCAGCAGCGGTGTTTCCGAAAGAGGCGCTCCCGACCAAGTCCGGGTACCTCCCCATCCCGCCCGCCAACGCCTCCCTCTTCTTCGCCTTCTACGAGGCCACAGACCCGGTCACGCCACCGGCCTCCACGCCGCTCCTTCTCTGGCTGCAGGGCGGTCCCGGCTGCTCCGGCCTCGTGGGCAACTTCTTCGAGCTCGACCCCTACTTCGTCAACCCCGACGGCGAAACCCTCTCGCGCAACCCCTTCGCGTGGAACCGCCGCTTCGGTCTCCTCTTCATCGACAACCCGCTCGGCACCGGCTTCAGCGCGGCGCCGTCCCCGGCCGACATCCCCACCAACCAGTCCGTCGTCGCCGCGCACATCCTCGCCGCGCTGCAGTCCTTCTACGCCCTCGACCCGAGCCTCCGCGCGCAGCCCTTCTTCCTCACGGGCGAGAGCTACGCGGGCAAGTACATCCCCGCGGCGGGGGCGCACATCCTGGACGCGAACGCGGGGCTTCCCGAGGCGCAGCGCGTGAACCTCCGCGGCGTGGCCATCGGCAACGGGCTCACGCACCCGGTGGCGCAGGTGGCCACGCACGCGGACTCGGCCTACTTCCTGGGCCTCGTGAACGCGCGGCAGAAGCGGGAGCTGGAGGCGCTGCAGTCCGAGGCGGTGTCGCTGACGCTGGCGGAGCGGTGGGTCGAGGCGTCGGACGCGCGGGGGCGGGTGCTGTCGCGGCTGCAGAACTTGACGGGGCTGGCCACGCTGTACGACTACGCGAAGCAGCGGGGCTACGCGACGGACGCCGTGAGGGCGTTCCTGAACCGCGCGGAGGTCAACGCGGCGCGCGCGGGGACGTGGCGTGGGCGGAATGCAGTGACGCGGTGGGCGCGGCGATGCACGCGGACGTGATGCGCAGCGTGGTGCCGCAGGCGGAGTCGCTGCTGCGGCGCACCCGCGTGCTGCTGTACCAGGGCGTCCGCGACCTCCGGGACGGCGTCGTGTCCACGGAGGCGTGGCTCGCCGGGGTGCGCTGGGACGGCCTGCGCGCGTTCCTGGACGCCCAGCGCACCGTGTGGCGGACCGGGGATGGAGAGCTCGCGGGGTACGTGCAGCGGTCGGGCGCGCTCTCGCACGTGGTGGTGTACGGCGCCGGACACCTGGTGCCGGCGGACAACGGCCGCGTGGCGCAGGAGATGATCGAGGGCTGGGTGCTGGGGACGGGACCGTTCGGCCGTGGTGGCGACGGCGACGGCATCAGGAGCGCCGCAGGATGTCTGACCGAGCACCCCGGCAGGCACGGTGGAATGTCCAAATGTGTCCAAGCTAATTACTGCGCGATATGGATTCTAGTTGGTCGGATTTGAATGGATTTGATGTTGTGTTTATTGAGTGATACCGGTCGGAATGGGAAGAAATGTGGATGCTTTAACCGTTTGTTAATTGGAATCGAAAATGCAATTCCTTTGAAGCTTCGTGTCATCTGTGTTGAAGCCTCCGTCTGATCGCTCCAAGGTTGGCCAATCCGTTGCTTCTTCTCACCGTTGTCTCTGGCAGCAATCCGGCAACGCTTCGCTTTGGAGCAGCGGCTGACAAGTCAAGGCACGGCAAGCAGGCACATGAAAGCCTCGTGGCGCGTCCCCGCCGTGCCAACTGCCAAGCCAGTAACTGACTAACTGTTCTTCTGTTCCAATTCCGACAGCTCACCTCGCTCGTAGGCGTGGAACCGGAGCCCCAGGCCCCGCCTGAGGCGCGCCCACCGCGACGTGCTGGCAGCGTCTCCACTCTCCAGAGCCTGGCGTGAACACGGACCAGGCAACTGGCCCAAGCAGACCAAGCAACACCAACAGCAACAATGTTGACGCAGAAACGTAAAACGCCAATTAGCCAGGCAAAATTATAGGGAAAATAATGTTGGAAATCTATTCAGCTCATTAACTAGAATCGGACCAAACAAACAAACGTATATGAAATAAAGGGGATCAGCTTTCACTAAGCAGTGAAGAAATTTAAGCGAGAAACAACACTCCATAGATGGGCTATTGCATGAGCCCGGCTTGGCAAGCAACAAGTTCTGGAGGTCCAGAGGACAGCTTAGCGAAAGGATAACCGTATTTTCACCTACTCAGGCAAGTTTGGAGGTATGCTTCATTAACCAAACGACTTTGGGCACTACCACGAATATCCTACTGAGCTAGTGAAGAACCAATAGCACATCAGCTTCTTCTGAACAGGACAAACAAATCACGCCGGCTCCTTGGATGAGCCATGTTCAGCATGCTTCTTATGATTATTACATGATTGAAAGCGAAAAACTTTCAGCAGAGAAAGTGAGCCCTGTCTCATTCAAGTGAACCAATCTTGCACTCAGCAATACATAGAAGATGCCGCCTCATCTAATATTGTTGCACCAAACCTGCACAAGGAAAACAGTTTGTGAAATTACATCAAAGCAGGCATAAAGCAGATCAAACAAAATATACAGAGACCGTTGCATTTATGTATACCGACCATCTTCTACCACAAACTCTTTAGAAAGGTATTATCAACAAGAAACTCTTAAAAGGTTCCATAAAAAGGAAACACTTCAAAGGTTCGTGGAAACTGGAAACATATGCATAGTGCTGACTAGGCAAACGTCAGACTGCCATTGGGTTCCTTCATTGAAATGTTTTAGCTACTAAGCTGGAAGAAACGATATAATGAGTACACAAAAAGCTCTGTTGTCTTTCCATCCTTTTCATGCTTCCATATTTTATTCCCTGTTCCTGCCATGGTTCTTTAAATCCTCTAAGATCAAAAAAAAAACTTTAATATGAAAACTCAGTAACATATCCCAATATGAAACAGAGAAAGCAGTGAACATTAATGGAACATGCTTTGACTAGAATTAATACTGAGGGCTGCCTTCATATACTCCATAGATATCTGCAGACACCTCATGAAAAGGACTCAAATATAATTGTGTAATAAAAGAAACAAGTAGCTAGCATCCTTTTATCTTTGTGTTGGATGGGAATTCCATTAGGATTCTAGTAGTGACACTTCAGAAAATATTGTCTCTCAGCTGTTTTTTTATATCCTTAACCTAGTATTTTTGCATGTGGGTTGTTTGGTGCTCCCATTACGTAAAAGGGTTGGGTAAGAACCTTAAGGTTTAGAACTTCGGCTGAAAAACTAATGTAGTTTGGTTGCTATTTGTAACAGAATCCAGATGATCCATATGGGAAGCAAAGGAAAAAGAAAGTCTTGAATATTGCAGGAAAGATAAGAAATCATATCATGCAATAGAGTCTTTGGAGACCATGGTTGACTCTTCACCGACAATATTAGGGTCAAGCTCTAAAATCTTAATGGGTCACAGAAAACTTCAGCAAAGTATTCAACATAGGTCTTATGTCGATCAACTTTCCTCAGCAGATCAAACTTTTGGATGAAATATAATCCACTCTCACTTATACAATAGATAAACTCGCAAAAGTACTTCATGAGTAATATACCACTAACTTTGACCCAAAAAAATGTGGTACAGAGATCCATTGGTTCAAATAATAAATATATGATACTAACTTTGAGACCCAAAATCAAATTTCTTTACCTTCAAACAGGACTCGAGCTTGAGCTGAAGCTCTTCTGCATTTTAGTAAGTCAACTAGTGGATCATCAAAATGATCTGGGCACTTACCAACATACAATGTGCGAAGAAGCCTTGCTTTAGAGAGAATAAACTTCATAAAAGAAATTTCATTTGGAAGCAATTTAATATGAATTATCTGCACAACTTGAAGATTGGCACACATGCCATCAGTCCACAGAGCATTTAGGAACTCCCAATTCGCATCGATACTCTGATGATCATCGTCATAAATCTTCACCCCCCCAAAAAAAATCAGCTGTAAACAATAAGATTACCTTTGAACAGTGTAAAGAATGGTATCCAAAAGGCAACATCCAACATTACCTCTATTTCTAACTTTTCAAGGTTGTGACAACTCCTTAGCAAGGTGAACATGAACAAAATGTGTTGCATTTGAGTAAAGTCCAGATATAGTTTCAAGTTCTTCAAGTTATAAAAGGTAAATGGAAGTGTATATGGCATCTCAACATCGTCGACCTGTGACCAAAAAAAAAACATATGAGAGCATTGAAACTGGATACGGCATCTCAAAAGTACCAACGTGTGACAAAAAGAAAGAGATTATATAAAAACATTGAAACAGGATGCTGAGTCTAGAAATATGGATGAGATTCTGCGTTATTTTGAAAAAAAGGATCCTAGGCACATGGAGGCAGGGCAGAAATGATAAGATCGTTTCCTTTATCAGTGTGTGCCGTTTCAAGTTATTTAATTAGTCTACGCGACCATGGTTATTATTCATCATCTATGTAATCAGCTCGAGCTAAGTACTAGTTTCAACCTCGATTTATGCCAAAGCACAGAAAAAGGAGAAAGAGGTGAAAACAATGTACCGGCGAGACGAGCGTAAGATTTCGAACTTGAGCAAACCGAGCAAGGAAATCTCCGAAATCATGTCCATACTGTGGGTAGAATGTCACTTGAATGTTGGCATCTTCGAGGCATGGCAGCTCTCCAATTCGCCAGTCATAGTCATAATGTGAATAGATTGTTAGGCTACGGAGATTAGGCGCCTCAATCACTGAGTGTGGGCAGCCAAGAGGGATGAACACATTAGACATATACAGGGCATGAAGCAAGGGTGACCGACGAATGATAGCCTCCAATTGATTCTCCCCATGGGCTAGGAAGTGAACAAACTTTAGGTCTAGCTCCTGGAGCGCGGGGAAGCTGGCGAATCCTATGGGGAGGGATGGAATGTTGCAGCGTTGCAGCCGCAGGGATACGAGATCAGCGAAGGAGAAGATGGAGGAGTGGAGGTTGAAGTAGTAGACTGATCTGAGTCGGCAACGCATGGAGATAATTGCTAAAATAGGACTCCAAACATGTGCCTGTGTTAAAATAGGACTCTTAATGTTGGCTTTGCTCAAATAGGACTCGAAACGTTGTCATTTTGTTATAATGATATTTTGACACTTTTAATCATATTTGTCATCTCAAATACATGTATTTTGCCTTGAGCTGACTATTTTGCCCTTAGACATTTAAAACACGTGTATAGGTGGGCTGCTGGCCGCTGCCTGGGCTGGATGACCGGCCGCCTGGCCATGGCTTGGCTGGCCCACAAAATGGCACATATAGCAATCAGGTAAAATTCTCTTTGGTTAACTAAAGAAGGGTTGTACAGGGAGAGAAAAACTAAAACTAGACACCACAGTGTTGTGATTGCACAACTTATTTGAACTAACAGGTTCCAAAGAAAACATGTACCAAATGCATATAGGAAATAAGGAATATTTAAAACCTAACTAATTAGACAGATTACGCCAGGGCTCATAGAACATAGATAATGGTCACACCATGGATTTATTTCAATAAGATCAACATACCCGAAGAGAGAAAATCTCCAGCTCATCGTATAGAGTAATCTGCATTGAAAGAAAGTTACGGATGTTAATTGATAAACTGATTGGTGATGTAATATGAGATGTTTCAACCCTTCTTATTTGTCAAGATCAAATTGACATCCAAGTAAATTTTGATACAAATTGCATAATAGTGGTAATTAGTGCTTGCGAAGTTCATATCATAAAACCATGATTCTAGTAGTTACAAGTTCATCGCATAAAACTATAATTTAGTTTAAAACAAGATCCAAGTCATTAAATAAATCATGAGCAGTTTACATCTCATCACACAACTAAAGTAATTCATCCAATATGTAGCTTTCTCTTCGGTGTCATCTTCTTGGGTGCTGCAGCGGTAGGCATCCTCATGTGCCCTCCCCTAATAACGTCGCAAGCATGCTGCACGTAAATTTAATACGACAATTAGATGTTTGGAAAAATTAGTGTATGGTAAATGTGTCAATTTCTATATTTATAATTTTTTACCTTCTTGTGACCCTTTCTGGACTATCACGTAGAATTTCTTCTCTAGTCGGCCTCCGTGGAGTGCTAGGTTCCGCTGGCTGTATTGTAACATTTTTCCTTGGTTGCCTACGCTTTCTAGACAATCAAAGATAACAACCACAAACTTGAGCAATCCAAGTTAATCAGAAAAAAAATCAACGACTTCTCACATGCTACAGAGGCAATAATGCAAGCAAAGCAAAGTTCAGAGTTCTTATATGCATATATATGCTAGTGGCCTCATATACGTACTGCATGCATGCATATATGCATATATATACAAGATTGAAATACATGTACAGACTAAACAAAGTTGTGGAATGTACATACTATTTACCTCTTTTTTGCAGTCCCATTGAGCGGGCACTTGAAACTAGCTTGCCTATGACCTTTTTCTCCGCATCTTTTGCAAGTCATAGGTCCTCTGATCATCTTCTTTCCCTTTGCATTTGTTGGAGCAGTATCATTGTCACATCCCTTCTCACCCTCCATCTCATTGCTAAATTTTCCATCTTTGGAACCTTTCTTCTTGTGTCCACCTTCCATCCATCCCTTGATTCTTAGTTTCCTCAATCTTCCAGGAGGTAATTTAGCTAGAGGTGCACCAACTAAAAAAGGTAGGTCGACTTCTGGCCATTGTGTTTTATCTGTCATCGGTTCAATCTCTCTTCCATAAGCCGTCCTAAACCTATTCACCGAGTAGTAGTCATGCACGAACTGTTCTAGGTCAATTCCCCTTTGGCAGGTTACATAGGCCAATACATGCTGACATGGCTTACCAGTGTGCTGCCATTCTTGACAAGTACAAGTCCTTTGCTCTAACTTGACAATGTGTCTCACAGAAACGCCGCTGCTATGGTCCCACACCTCTGCACTCCAATTAGAACATTTCACAATTTTCAAGTGTCCCAAACCTCTAGTATTTGCTCTTAGCTGAACCATAATAGCTGGGAGAATCCTGCCCTCAGGTAGCCTGTATGCAATAATTCTTCTCTTGTGCCACAATACCATGATCATTTCTCTGATCTTATCAACAAGGTCAGCAACAGGTAGGTCCTTATGGTCTCTAATCCAGTTATTAAATGACTCAGCAATGTTACTAGTTATGTAGTCACACTTAATGTCTGGATTGAAACCACGCCTATACCATAGAAGCTTGTGATTGGCCTGTAACTATTGCACTGCTTCTGATGACTCACTTAGCATTTTTGCTAAATTGTCATAGAAAATCTCCTCTCTGTAAGCTCTTGCAGCAGGATATATCTGGACAAACCCTCTAAATCTCTTTTTGAAGTTTCTGGCTAGATGATAAAAGCATTCCCTTTGCTCTGCATTTGGGAATACATTCTTCACTGCATTCTCTAAGCCTTTGCAAGCATCAGAACATATAGCAAGTAGTGGAGGATCACCTATAGCCTTCTTCAACTGCTTCCATGAACCAAGTCCAGCTTGATTTGTTGTCTCGTAAGCAATGAAGCCATAAGCGATTTGGATACATCCAATTGTGACCATCAATCTGCTACAAATTTGCGCCAAGTGACCATTCCACCTTCCATTAAGGGTCAGAGCATCTATGCTCAAATGAGGCCTACAACCTTCCAAGAAACCATCAATACATGGTTTAAGAGCACGTAAAAAAAAGTGGAAATATACCTCACCATCCACCTCAAGAACATCAATCTCAACTACACTCCCGGGGCTCCGCTTCTCGACCTCGGCCTTCCACCTATATAGCAGCTGAAAACTCTCTGACCATTTGCCATAAACCTCATCAAGAGCTTTTGCTTTACCCCGCCACACAGTGTCATATGCAATTTCACACTTGTGATCTGTCTCCAACCTCTTTTGCAGTTCCCTAGCACCAATATTTGGTTCACTTTCTAAGTATACTCATGCCCATAGAGCTACCCACTTGCAATTTGGAGTTGTAGTTGCCATCCTCATGCTAGACACACATGTATGGTCATTGACTAAGACGGTAACCTGCAAGTAAAAATAAATCAATGAGATATATTGTGTACTGTTGCATCATATATAGCACAGAAAAAAAATCAAGGACTTCTCAGTCATATATAGACACATATGAAATAATGCACGTTCACAGCAGCTAGGAAAGTAGACAATCAAGCACATGAGCATGCACACGTCCGGCCAATCAAGTACTACCAAATGAATCGTACAGAGGCATGCAAGCATATATGTATATATAGTACTACATGGCAGTAAAACACTTTCATCCGGGCAATTAAACACAGGCAATGTAGAATTAATGAAATAAGCCTCAGATACCTCCGTTGTAGCAATCGCCTTGCGCTTTTCGCCATTTATCCTCCAAATGCAAGGGCGATCTTCATCACCGGAATTGCAATAAGCCCTATATACCGTCTTAGTTGACTTCTCTACTCGTAAATGGAACTCCTTGTTGATGGCAAATTGCCGAACTGCCAGCTTGAACTCCTCCATTGTTGGGTACATTGTCCCTACCTCCATTGATGGGTTCTTCTTATCATACGTAATGACCATCTCACCGGGTACGGCATCACTAGTAGGGATGGCAGCACCATCAATATCTTGCCCAAGCGCAGTATCATTCACTTGTTCATCCATTCGGCAACCAAAGCCTTGTGTAGGTACATTTGTTGACTCATTTGTTGTGCCCTCTTCTGTCAAGCCTAAAAACTCACACATCCAGCTCTCGCTCATAACTTCAATTCGACCTTCATCATCATGTGTTTCCACAATTTGTAATGTTGCCCAATCAACTTTTCCTATAGTTTCCACATCATTCACTTCGGACCTATAAACAAGCCAAACCTAGTTTTATTTCTGTACGGTACTTGTACTGAAAAAAAAGATCTAGTGGATGCAATATATACCTTTGCACTTGAAGAACATGAATGTTGCACTCTCTTGCCGGATGAGGAGCAGTAGGCAGAAGTGACCTTGCTAGGGCTAGAGCATCGATGGAGGCCTCCACTGCTGGTTGCAGGCCATCGGTTGCCCCAGCCTGGGAAGCTTGGCCATCAGGTGCCGCGGCCAGGGCACCGGGCGACGTCGAGGCTAGAGCACCGGGCGACGCCGCGGCTAGGGCACTAGGCGTAGCCTCGGCTAGGGCACCACGCGCGGCCAGGGCTTCGGTTGCCTCCAAGTCCATGGCCGGCGGCGTCGACAGGGAAGGAGGGGCAGCGGGAGGGAGGAACGCCGAGGCCAGAGCACCGGGCGACGCCGTGGCTAGGGCACCAGGCGCGGCCTCGGCACCACGTGTGGCCAGGGCTCCACCACGCGCGGCCAGGGATTCACCAGCGGGAGGGAGGAACACTAAGGCCAGAGCACCGGGCGACGCCGTGGCTAGGGCACCACGTGCGGCCAGGCCTCCACCACGCGTAGCCAGGGATTCACCACGCGCGGCGGCGTCGGTTGCCTCCAAGTCCATGGCCGGCGGCGTCGAGCGAGAAGGAGGAAGGAAGAAGGAACGACGTACGGAAGAAGGAACGACGGAAGATGTTCTCGTCGGCCAGGGCTCCAAGTCCACAGATAGATTAGAATACCAGAAGGGCAATACAGTCAATATGAGAAAATACATGTATTTGAGTTTTGGAATATGATTAAAAAGTTGTCAAAATGTCATTATAACAAAGTGACAACGTTTCGAATCCTATTTGAGCAAAGCCAACGTTAGGAGTCCTATTTTAGCAAAGGCACATGTTTGGGAGTCCTATTTTAGCAATTGTCTCCAACGCATGTGGATGGACTCGACATGGCAGCGGGAGAGCGCGAGGAGCCAGTCATGGACGCGGCCGGCAGACGCGTCATCGACGTAGATGTCGAAGAGGGAGACGCGGGGGCCGATGTAGCGGAGGAGGACGCTGTCGACGATCGACGGGTGCGTGCCGAGAGGGAAGGAGAGGGAGAGCATCGAGAGCGACTTCCAGAGGTCCCGCCAG